AAAGTAGTTGTATTAATAAAATTTTGCAGTATAGCTTTTTAAAGTTTGCATTTTCTTATAATTTATTATAAGATTTATAATATAAAAATTGATTTTCCGAAGATCTTTTTTTTTGTCATTTTTGGCCCTTTCTCCAGCATCTAGCTCATATAGTCATATGTTTTGTTTATTGACAAAATTATATACTTTGTATAATAACAATTTATAAGCTTTGTTTATTGTTTAGTCTGAAATATAATCTCAGTACTACAGATTCTAAATTCTAAAAGTAAATTGTATATTGAATAGAAAATTACTCAAGATAAATTAAAAGTTGCACAACTTAAAATTTTTAAGTCTGATTTAGATTACAGAATATTTGGTTATCTTTTTTTAGCTCATTTATGTATTCTGTCTCTTTTTTATATTACTACCTAACAAAGTTTTTATGACTTGAGATAAGTTTTTTTTAGTTAGTAAGCTTAGTGCTTTTAAATTAGTAATAATTTTTATTTTTTTTATCTTGAGACTAGATGTTAACTACTTGTAGTTTAGTATTAACTAGGTTTGGATCTTGATAAGATCTGAAGTTATTTTTGTTGATCTAAGGATAATATTTCTTTCAAAAAGAGTTACTGCAAGAAGAAAAATAACTTCTGCAGCAGATTATATCTGGATACTATTTAGCAGATAAGTAAGTTCAAAATTGCAATGAGGAGAGATTTAATTATAGATTAGTTTTAGAACTTATATAATTTGTATCTTATTTGTATCTTATGATATATATTTTATATATATCTAATAATATTTCCTCTAATAAATAATGAGCAAGATCACTTAAGTTAGAAAAAAAAGAAAAAAAATATTGTGTTAGTTTATTAAAGAACAGAAAGGAATTTGTCTAAACTTTATCTGCAATTGCTTCTGTCTTGTCTGAATTTTAGTAGAGTAGAAAAGTAGTCTTTTTATACAAATTGTTATAATACAAAAATCAAATAAAAATAATAATAAAATGCTATTATATAATCAATATATACTAAATATAATTAAATTAATAGTGCTAATATACACAGGTCGAAATTAAATATATCAGATAAGCTATTTGCTATCTGATATTTATATAATACAAAATGATAATTTAACAAAATAGCAGCATAAAAGATAGTTTATTGATATCTTGCTAATATTTGACAGATAGATTTTAGTTAAATATTAGATAAGATATCTGCTGTCTGATAGTCCTATAATATACAATATCATTTAACAAAATATTATTATGATTTTAGTTAAATATTGAACAAAATATCTGCTATCCAATAGTCCTATAATATACAATGACAATTTAACAAAATATCATCATGATTTTAGTTAAATATCAGACAAGATATCTGCTATTTAATAGTTCTATAATACATAATGATAATGATAATTTAACAAAATTTCAGATAAATATCAGACAAAAAAATATCTTGTAGAAATAAAATTGATATCTTTATATATTGATATATAGCAGTTATACAAGTTTTAGCTATAGCTTATTAATTATCTGAATAGTATACGTCAATTGTAATATTAATTTAAATATATATGCAATAAATATATACTAAGTATATATTTATATTTAAATATAGATTATCTCATGTATGTACAACTATTATAGATTATATTTTTAATTAATAGAATCACTAACATATACTCCTGAGGTTTTCTCGATTCAACTATAAAAGTACTAGCAACAAATCTTCCTAGTATATTATGTACAAAAATTATATAATCACAATCTAAATCATAAAATCATTATTCTATAATTCTACATTACAAAGTTATCATCATTTTTGCTGATACTAAGTTGATATCTTAATTTTTCATCTATTTTTTTGTACTAGTAAATATATATGAGATTATGCTTTGTTAATTCTTCTGGATAGTCAATATAATGCTCAAAAAAGAACTAAATCTGACCCGAATATGTGATTACATCTTTATCTTTGGCAAACTTTGCAAGAATTCTTGAAGAATTTTTATGCTGTTTAGAAAAGGTAGACCTGAAAACTTCATCACCTATTCTTACTCTTAATATTGATTTATTATGGGCAGTATACCTATCAATCTATCTAATTCCAAATCTTCAGATAGAATAAATATATTCGTCTCATAAGCATTATTATAGTATTTGGTAAGTAATTTTATAAAATCTTGGGAAACATATACATTCATTCTTTTTAGTGTAAGGAAGATTCTAAGAAGTGAATCTGATCCAGTGCTAGTACCAACCCCCTCTTCTACTAATCTTGACATAGAAATAAAATTTATTGTATCTTCATTAGATATTTCATAATTACTCAAACTTCTAGAAGATTGTCTTGAGCTAGAATAAACAAAGCTTCAGATAAATTAGTATCATTACAATCACTAATTAATTTATCAATTTGTCTATTTTCTTAGATAATATTCATAAGTTCTGGCTCAATTTTTCTATTACTATTTTTGTAGCTTCCTATAAGATATAATTAATATTATTAAAAAAAAAAAGATATTGACTAAATTATTAAGTTTTTTTTTTTTTTTTTTTTTTTTTTAAGAATATAAAGATATCGACTAAATTATTATTATTATTATTTTTTTTTTTTTAAAGATATCAACTAAATTATTATTATTATTATTGTTATAAAATGAGTTTTATCTATTTAATTTACTTAGTTAATTTCTTGAATGTATTTATCGATTTCTCGATAAA